GTTAAGTGACTTGCCCAAGGTCACACAGCTAGTACATGTCAAGTGTTTGGTCTGAGGCCAGATTGAACTCAGGTCCTCCTGACTTCAGGGCCGGTGCTCTATCCACTGCGCCACCTAGCTGCCCCAATAAAATTTTTTTGAGCATACACTCTTTATGTATGTATACTCATTTATAAATTATACACATTACTGTTGTACTAATATGTATATTATAAAACATACACAAAAAGTGTTATTAAAAGGAAGATATAAAGAAAAAAACTTTCAAAATACTTATTTTATTTACTTTTAAGAGTACAGAACCCTGGGCAGATAGGTGGCACAGTGGATAGAGCTCTGGCCTTGGAATCAGGAGGACCTGAGTTCAAATCCAGCCTCAGACACTTGACACTTACTAGCTGTGTGACCCTGGGCAAGTCACTTAACCGTGATTGCCACAAAAAAAGAATATAGAACCTTTTCTCCTCACTTTCTTATTAATAGTATTCTTTGTAAGAGAACGTAATTGAATGTTTCATTGTTCTAAAACATATTGGTTTAATAATTTGAAAATCTGTTTCAAAGTTCTAGGTTTAATGTCTTCTAAAATAGGAAGGAAGGTTTCACTTGGATTGGTGAGAACCCATCAAATCTAGCATGTCCCCCTATACCATGTACTACTCTGAATACCTTCCTGACATACAGACTTTCCCTCATTTTTCTTTTTTCAAAACATTTATTAAGAGTTTCCAATATGCTAGGCACCATGCTAAATACTGAGAACATAAATACAAGCAAAAAGAAATACAGTCCTTGCTCTCAAGGAACTTTTTTTTAATTAATTGATTATTAGTTTTCAACATTCACTTTTATAAGATTTTAAGTTCTAAATTTCCCTCCCTCCTTTTCCTCTTCTTCCCAAGACAGCATGCAATCTGATATGGGCTATACATGTATAATTATATTAAACATATTTCCACATCGGTCATGTTGTGAAAGAAGAATCAGAAAAGGGAACAAAAAACAAAAAAAAGAGAAAATAGTATGTCTCAATCTGCATTCAGACTCCATGGCTCTTTCTCTGAATGCGGATAGTATTTTCCATCATGGGTCTTTTGGAATTGTTTCAGATCATTGCATTGTTGAGAAGAGCTAAGTCTAACAAAGCTGATGGTCACACAATGTTGCTGTTACTGTGTACAATGTTCTCTTGGTTCTGCTCACTTCACTCAGCATCAGACCATACAAGTCTTTTCAGGTTTTTCTGAAGTCAGCCTGTTCATCACTTCTTATAGCACAATAGTATTCTATCACATTCATAAACCACAACTTGTTCAGCCATTCCCCAACTGACGGGCATCCCCTCGATTTCCAATTCTTTGCCACCACAAAAAGAGAAGGAGCTCACCTTCTGATGGAGAAGGACAACATATAAAGTTGAAAAGATGGGGAGAGGCAAGAGGAGGAGAAAAAACTCATGCAAAGGTACTGTGGAGAAAGAAGTCCAAAAAGGAACAAGAGCTGAGCGTAAAGAAGAATGAAAGTATGAATATGGTTAGCCTGGGCACTTCCTTAAAATGGAGGTTCCAGAAAGAACTGACTAATCTGTGGAGAGGGGCTATAGGAGGTATTCCAAAGTGAGAAGGTTGCGGGAATGGAGGCATCTTCAAGAGTGAGAAGGCTTTTTATGTTTCTGGACTCCTATGTTTGTATTTCAAAGTTTCTACACAATTATTGTTTAGTCAGGAATGATTGGAAGTCTTTTGTTTCATTAAAAGTCTATTTTTCCCCTATAAGATGATGCTCAGATATTCTGGCCAAGTTATTCTTGGTTGTAAGCTTATATTGCTTTCTAGAATATCATTCTAAGCTCTCCACTTCTTTATAGTGGTGACTGCTAAATCTTGTGTGATCTTCACAATTTGTCCTTGAATTAGTACTTGAATTCTTTCTTTCTATTTGCAGTATTTTTTCTTTGACCTAAAAGCTCTGGATTTGGGATGTAATTTTTATTTTGGTGATTCTTTTGGGAAGTGACTTATGAATTAATCTTTCACTTTGCCCAGTGGTTCTAAGAGATCCAGGTAGTTTTATGATTTTTTGATAGGCTGTCTTTTTGGTCAAGGTTTTAGGTAGTCTAGTGATTTTTACATTTTCTTTCCTTGATCCAGTTTTCAAGTTTTCCAGTTTTTGATATGAGATGTCTAATATTTTTTCAGTGCTTTGATTCTTTTTTTTTAAAAAACATTTCTTATTACTTTGTGCAATCATTAACTTTTATTTGGTCCATTCTAATTTTGAAGCAGTGTTGTCTAGTTAAGTTTTTGTATCTCTTGTGCTAAAATGTTAATTCTCTTTCTTCAATTCTTTCTTCTATAACTCTTTTCTATTTCTCCCTTAGCGCTCTCATTTCTTTTCCAATTAGTTCCTCTAGCATTCTCATTTTACTTATAAAATTATTTTTAGTTCTTTTTAAAAGACTGTTGATATTTGTCTTCTAAGAATTCTAGTTGAACTTTTGAACTTGTACTGAAACTTTTTTTTTCTCTGAGGTTTTGCTAGTAGATGTTTTGAAGTCATTCTCTTTTTCTAAATTTGTGTCTTGAAGGTCTCTGTCATCATAATAGTTCCTTATGGTGGGATTCTTTTTTTCTTCTTCTACGTTCACTCACTCTTTAAGCCTAACTTCAGACTTTGTGCGCCTCTGGAGAGAACGGCAAGGCTATGCTTGGTTTTGTTTTATATCTTCTTGGGTCCAACTGCTGATTTCTCAGGTTATTGAATGTTATGTTAATCCAGGATCTCAGGGGAAATTCCAACTAGCAACTTGCAAGCTTTCAGTGTACCCAGAGTGGTCTAATCCAGGACAGAAATCTGATTGCTATCTTTCTGTTCCAAGCTCTGCAAGTTCCTGATTTGAGCATGTCAGTTAACCATGGGGCCACCCTCTGGTTCCACTCACAATCCCTGTGATTTCCCAGAGCAAATCTCCCTTCTCTCTCCACCAATCCCTTATATGTGTTGTCTCCCTCTTTCAGTATGTAAGCTTCCCAAATATAGAAACTCGCTCTTTTTATTTTGTACATTCATTTAAAAAAAAATTTCCACTTCTTAGCCACCACAAAAAGAGCTGCTATAAATATTTTTATACATGTAGGTCCTTTCCTCCCCTTTTTTTAATGATGTCTTTGGGATTCAGACCTAGTGGTGGTATTGCTGGATCAAAGGGTATGCACAGTTTGATTGTCCTTTGGGCATAGACAATTTTAGAACCAAATCCCAAGATTAATTGTTTTAGTACAATTCAAGGTCCTTTTTTCCCTTAGAAAACAAACTGAAATGACAGAAGCTTAAACTAAATACTTGTGCCATTCTAGTGTTAAGGGATTTTCTCTCCCTTTTGGGAGATGCAGGTTTACCTGAGGGGGAGAGGAGGAAAACAGGTGAGGAGGGAGGATTACTTGTTGAGGGTGGGTCAAAGATAAAAGGTAGAAATGACAAAGAGATCTATTAGCATGCTAAGAATCTAAAGTTTAGCTGGCAGCAAGTTCATATTACCAGGCTACAGATAAGGCCTGCTTAGAGTACAGAGTCAAGAAGCAATCTAAGGCGAATTAGGATAGAAAAGTAAAGCATTTCACAGTAGAGGGAGTGGTAAAGAGACGATCAACCAAGAGAAAAAAAGGGGGAATATTTGTAATGCAAGGGGCAGGATTTGTGAGCTGAATAAGAAAACATTCCCGTTCAGGGCTGGAGAGAAGGGGTAGCAGTAAAATAGTTTTATGATTGTGAAAGCAGCCCTTTTAGACAAAACTGCAGGTTCTCTTATCCAAAGACAGCAAGTAGCTGTTAAAACAGTGGATGTGACAGTCTGGGTCCTTGCATTTCTCACAGGTGGTTGAGGGGATTTCTACGTTGTTAGTCCATCAAGATGACATGAAATGATTGTGCTTCATGTTTCCACCACATTAATAACATAGCATAACTTAGGTAAGGTTGAACCCATATCAGAGGCCCCCTGGAGCAGGTAAATGGCAGAGTAATTTGTATTATCTCTACAGTGGGGTTGGAGTGGGGGTGAAGGTGGGGGAAGTGCCCTGGCTTCATTGAAATGTGCTCAGCTAGCTGGATGTGGAGGTCACTGACACTGTTCATCTTCAATCTTCACTTCCCGCCTGGACTATTCCGAAGCCACCCCATAACACTAAGCATCAGACCTAGAAAATAAAAATCTACCTGCAGGGTGCCACTGGCCCCAGCACGTGGGCTTTAAAGAGCTGTAAGGACTCGTTTGTAACGTGGGCACTGGGGTCCATGGAGGAATGTGCCATGCTGGTCAGAGTCCTCCGTCCCTGTGTTACCCTCTCTGGGCCTCAGTTTCCTCATGTGTAAAAATGAGGGGAGTGGAAAGAGGAGGGATAAATAAAATAGTTTTAAAATAGCTTGAGCTATGACTCCAAAGGTTACTCCCAGCCCCAAGTCTAGGCCTATTAAAGATCTCGCTTTATTAGCAAGCAGCTAGGTGGCTGCAGCGGATAGAGTGCCAGACCTGGAGTCGGGAGGACCTGAGTTCAAATCCAACCTCAGACACTTACTAGCTGTAGGACCCTGGGCAATCTCGAAAATGAGCTGGAGAAGGAAACAGCAAACCACTCCAGTATCTTTGCCAAGAAAACTCCAAATGGGGTCACGAAGAGTCAGACACTGCAGATACGATTGAACAACAAAAACCTTAGCCCTACGTGCCCTTGAGAGGCGCACTCAAGCCCGCCCTACGCGACCCGGGTCACTTCTAGGCCTTGCATTAGACGTAGGACTACAAAACAGAGGATCCTGGGTAAAGGAAGTGACGAGAGGGAGAGTGAGGCATGCTGGTCTCAGCGTTGTGCACGTGAGCGCGCCTGGCGCGTGCGCTCGGCGGGGTCCAGCGCTCGGCGGGGTCCAGCGCTCGGCGGGGTCCAGCGCTCGGCCGGCTCGTGTGCCTCGGCCCGCCCGCCGCGGGGAGGCCCCGAGAGGGAGAGGAGCTCCGGGGGGGGGCCTGGGGGCCAACGCAGAGTGGGCTCTCGTGAGCGGCGGGGCGGGGAAGCCAGCTCCTGTGAATAGCTAGCATTGAGAGTACATTGAAAACCTTACCGATACCGCATTTTCCCTCACTTCCCCTCCCCCCCAGAGGTAGGTGCTGTGATTATCCCCATTTTATTGGTGAGGGAATTGAGGCACGTAGCGGTTAAACGACTCCCCCAGGGTCACACGGCCTGTACCGAGGGCCCGAGGTCTCTATTTGACCCACACCCAGCCTCCTCCGGTTCTCAGCGCTGCCTGGCGGCCCCACCGATTGATGGCATCAATTTTTCGCCTCGAACTTTGGCTAAAATAGAGCAGGGTCATCAGGTCGGGGACCAGGCCTGGGCCTCTTCGGTCAGAATGCTCGCAGCATCGTGCCTGGCACATAGTAGGCACTTTGTTAGGTGCTCGTTGGTGGGTGAGGACCTCCAGGTCTTCAAGTGAGGGTGTGGGGGGGGGTCAGTCAGTCGGCCGCACTTGAGGACCTGGAGGGCCAAGTGTGACCTCGAGGCCGCCGGTTCCTCGCCCCTGGATTGGCTGATTCCACTCCTAATAAAGCTTGTTGAATGGAGCTGACAATGGATAAATGCGCTTTACATGGGTGATCATTTACTTTCACAATAACTCAGTGAAGTGTAGGTACTACCCACATTATTAACCCTCTTTCAGACAGGGAAACTGAAGGCCGGAGAGGTTAAGTGATATGCCTTTGGTCACACAACTAGCAAGTGTGAGAGAGGATTTGCTTAGCTCAGCGCCTGGCACCTCCTAGGCTCTTAATAAATGATTGATTTGGATTCAGGCCCTCCTGATGTCCCAGTCCAGCACTCCATTCACCGGGCAGAACTAAGTAACAATAAGGTTTTAAGATTTGCAGGGCACTTTACATATATTGTCTCATTTGATCCCCATCCCAGCCCCATGAGTTAGGTGATGGTATTTGTCCCCATGTTATGATGAGGAAACGGGCTTAGCAAATTTGGGTGACTTTTCTTGGGTCACACAGCTAGTAGTCCTCTGAGGCAGGATTAGAACTTGGCTCTAATGACTTCAAGTCCAATAGTATCTACTGGGCCACTGTAGTAGGTACGATACATGAATGGCATAATAATACATGATAGCATGGTTGATATGTAAAATGTTAGAGCTGGACAGTTAGCTATTATCCAGTCCAACTTCATTTTACCACCAGGCATTTTTTAAGTGTCTGCTTTGTGCTAGCTTGGAAAATCCATGTAGAAAAAAATTGAAATGCCCCTGCCTCTATGGGCGTACATACTTAAGGGAGTTACATTTATAAATATCCACAAAGTAAATGCAAGGTAATTTGGGGGAGGGGGCAGTAGTAGTTGAGGGCATCAGGAAACACCTTTTTTAGAAGCTGGCGGTTGAGCTGAGATTTGAAGGAAACCAGGAATGCCGTATGTCACATTAGTCTGATGGTGAGAGCAGCCCAGATCTCTTGGTTGTGTTGGCTCTTTTGTAATTGTTCTCAAACTTCCTCATGCTTTTATGTTGTCTGCCTATATTATTTTTAATTGAAGGGCAGGGACTAGTCTTCCTCTAGAACAGTGCTGTAGAACCCTTAAGTTCTTACCTAATAATGTCAAACAAATAGAAAAAAATTCCAGCAAGCTTCATATTGATTTAGATCACAAATTAATATCTGTGTTGTATATTTATTTTGTTAAACATTTCCTAATTACATTTTAATCCAGTTCTGCCAGGAGTTCAGCACCTTGGTTCTTCAACTGCTTTAGAACATATGGTGAATCACTGATGCTCTTGGGGCCTTGAGTGGGCACCATAGGCATACAGAGTCATCTTTCATTGCCTTCATTTCTAAAATCTGAACTCGTTGCTGTTTGAATTGTTCTAGCTGACGACCATGAATGAATGGATGAAGAAAAGCCCATTAGAATGGCAAGACTATGTATATAAAGAAGTCAGAGTGACAGCCAGTGAGAAGAATGAATATAAAGGATGGGTTTTAACAACAGACCCAGTCTCTGCCAAGTGAGTATGGCATGGCGTGTTATCTCTTTGTAGTTTATAGGTGCTGAGTTCTTTAACTTTATTCCCTCTCTCCCTATTTTTTCATCCATAAGGTTTATCAGTATGACTGCATATTAAAATCCATGCTTAAAAATCAGATGTTAGGGAGTGATTATCTTTCTTTTCCTGATGCATTGTGCTTTCTATGAAGCAGGCATTTAATAAATATCTGTTATTGAATCACAAGAGCATTCCATTTCCCATCTGGGGGAGGGAACCAAACCCATGATTTCTTTGGTATGAGAAACACCCTATAAGGTGACTCTGCCAGTGAAGTCCCTGCTGTCATTGTTGGGGGCAGTGAGAGTTAAGTGACTTGTACAGGGCCATGCAGCTCGTATTTACATGTCTACAATGAGACTGAAGGGAGGACTTATGACTCTCTGCAATGTTCTTCGATGCTGCTCCTGCTTCCTTTAGATGCTGAGGGCAGAGAATTTTACCAAAAGTTTTCAGGTAAAGCTTTAGGGACTTCTGACAGCTGACAATCAGGAATCCACAGGCAACAAGCAAGCTTACACTTAATATTCAGCACCTCCTATACCAGGCACTCATCCAGCCACTGGTGACAGGAGTACAAAAGTGAGGCTGACCATCCCTGTCCTGAAAAGCTTCCGTTCCACCAGAAACAACTCTCAGTATCCAAAGATACTAAAGCACCTCAGGATCTTTAATCTTGTGACTATGGGTACACCTGCCACCAAAGCAGATGACACCTATTCTGTTAATTAATAAACAGTTTTTGAGAGTTTCTTTGGCCCCAAAATTCATCATTTTCTGGTCATTGTGGTATTGAGCTAAGTGATCAAATATTTATTGAATGAGTATTTGGATGAATGATTTTCAAAACAGTGATTTATTCAGTTTTAAAAGCAGCACATCTGTTGCATAAAACAAGATATATTTGTAGTTTCCTTTGCACTAAGGCCTTTCCCTCCTCTCCTCCCACCCCCTTTTATCAATGGACAGATAGAACTAGGGTTAGCACAGGGAGAGTTAAGAGGAGGAAGCCTAGAGTCCATCTGCTATTCCTATCCTGGTGGATCAGTGGTGGTAAGAGCCTCCTCCATTCTTTCATTCAGCAGACATTAAGCACCTACAATTTATCCAGCCTTGTGCTTGATAAGTCCTGGTTCCTGCCCTCATGAAGTTTATGGGAGAAGGCAGCAGATAACAGTAATATTTGATATTATATCATAAGGCATTAGAGTTGTAAAATAAAGTGTTGTGTGAAGTGAGAGAGGAAAGATCTGTTAATAAATGCATACAGTTCCTTTGAAAAATTAGGCAGCAAGCTAAAGGAAGTAATTCTCAAGTTTCCCTCTGTTTCTTTTTCATTGGCCTTTCCTCCAGGAATCTGTGGCTTCTGCAGGCAGATTAGTGCTCCATCTTCTGCCATGGGGGAGTGTGTCAAGGAAATGGTGACTGAGTGGAAGAAAGAGATTAATCAGCAATAGCCAGAGCACTGTTACTCTAAGCCATCTAGAATTTTGATGGCCCTTATACATTATGAGCATTTTTCTCATAGCAGATAAGTGATCTTCATTCATTAGGCATAACTCTCCCAACTTGGGAGAGCTAGGGAAACAGAAGTAGCTAGAACTAGGCCGCCGTAGGTGTTCAGAGCAGGGAGACCTGAATATGCCTCTTCATTTTGTTTAAAGTTTATTTTAAAGTGACATATAAGGGTGTGTGGAACAAGCAAATCCTATGCTCCTAATCATGTTGAGTTTATTAACATTTATGTCCTAAACTATAGCACTTCTTAATAAACATTTATCCTATCTTAAAATAGGCTTAGGAAACTGAGAGTTACTTGTTGAGGGTCATCCATTGAGTTGGATGGAGTCCAGAATGATTCCTACCTCTCTCCATCCTAGATCTTTTAAACCCCTGTTTTTGTATCATATGAACTTCTGCTTAGAGTTTGGTCATGTAAGAGTAGATATTTTGAACACTGCCATGCATATTATAGGCAGCTAATATAAATGCTTGATGAATGAATGAACTTCTGTGTCATTTAAGAAAAATAATTTTTTTTCCCCAATTACATATAAAAACAATTTTTAACATTCATTTTTTAGAATTTTGAGTTCCAAATTCTCTCTCTCCCTCCTTCCTTCCTTTCTCCCCCTCCCTGATATGGTAAGCAGTTTGATAGAGGTTATACATATGCAGTCATGCAAAACATACTTCTGTATTAGTCATGTTGTAAAAGAAGACAAAGATACCCCTCCAAAAAAAAAACCACACAAAAAAATGTGAAAAATAGTATGCTTCAGTCTGCATTCAGACTATTGGTTCTTTCTCTGAATGTAGGATAGCATTTTTTTATCATTAGGCCCTTTGGAATTGTCTTTGGGATTGCTGAGAAGAGCTAAATCATTCACAGTTGGTCATTGTTTCTGTGTCATTTTGAAGATGGAAAGCATTCCAATTTCTTCTGGTAACAGGTGGTGTGTCAGGAATGGTGCAGCTTGCTTCTCCATCCTCTGCTGTTTAATTTTGGGTTGTTAACTTGTATCCTTCCCAATTTAGGAGGCCTGTAAATCTTTATTGATTCCCCTGCTGTGTGTTTTCTCTCATCCCAAAGTATCGTCCTTGTGAATTTTCTTGAAGATGGCACGGTGGCTGTGACTGGAGTCATGGGACATGCTGTGCAGACTGTTGAAACTTTGAATGAAGACAACCAGGAAGTGAGAGAGAAACTGATGCATATGTTCATGCCGGAAGAGAGTAAGGCCTACAACCCTGAGGACCTGGAAAAAAGGAAGATCAGCCTCAAGTCCTGGCTGGAGAAGAATCACATCCCCATCACTGAACAGGGAGAGTCACAAAGTACCCTCTGCGTTGCTGGGGTCCTGACCATAGAGCCACCCTATGGACCTGAAGACTGCAGCAGTTCAAATGAAATTATTTTGTCCAGAGTTCAGGATCTTATCCAGGGACATCTTACAACTTCCCAGTGAGACACTAAAACCTGTTGCTCAGCTTGCAGAAAGACTTAATTTTTTTTTTCTTAGTAAAGTTAGTTGAATATTAAGCCCTTAATTTTCTGGAGTTCTTTGAGTACATTTTGTGCTTTTGAAAACTTTGGTGTGGCAAGTGAGTGCAGAGATTCACTTGCCAGTGGTATGCTGTCTTGTGTTTTGGATATAGGAGAGCTGGGAAAAGAGAGACTCACAGGCACAGGAAACTCCTATTTGTAGGATCCACTTTTGTGATGTAGATCCTTACTCCTCCTTTGTTAGCCAAGAGATAATGATTAAGTACTGGGGGAAATATGATCTGAGCCCATAGAAAAAGTTGTCACTGCTAAGCACAGCCTATAAATTCATTTTTAGGGGGAGGGGAGGGAAACGTCAAGATCTGTGATTTCTTGATTATATGGAACTTCATTTCATTGATGTAGAAGAATAACTGCATCTTCAAGTCTTAAGAGAATTGCCAGCAGACTCAGAAGTTAAATGACTGGCCAGGGGTCACACAACTAATATGTGTAAAAGGCAGGGTTTGAACCCAAGTCTCCAAATTCTAGGGTTGGCTCTCTATCATGCTGCCTATTCTTTTATCGTATTGCTTTGATTTTATTCACTTTGAATACTATTAGTATTTTGGCCTTTTATTGATTGTCTATATTCTTAGTATAATGGCCCAATTAATTACAATACTTGAAAATATTTTTAGGTTGAAACTTCTCACCTTTGGTTGACCATTAGGAAAATCTGCTGTGCTTGACTCTTATAATTCTAGAGTTGTTTGGTGCCCTTAAATGCTACAGTCAGATTCGCTAGTTAATAATAGCAGTGGAAATTATTCTCAAAGGAGAGTAAGAACTTGAGTCTAAGAAAAAAGTACTGGAAATTACTTTATTATCAGACTTTATTAGGGTCTATGTGAAGATTACTGGTAGGCAGTCACTAATGCCTAACCCAGGGGGGTGGTAGGTAGGTTTTTGTGTTTGGAGGTTAATAAACTGAAGACATAATTTCCTGGCAACTACTAAGTAGTTAAGTGGTTTAAATAATCTGTTTGCAAATAAAACCTGAGGGCCCCAGGATGAATGAATTGACTTCACCTTAGAAAGCTGCTTGGCTAGAGAATCAAGGTCAGGTGGATGCTGGAAATAATTTCTTTGGGACTATTTTCAGTTTACCCTCCTTTTTCAAGTCTGTAGTGAATCCTGGGATCTTCCTTTTTCCCTGTTTCCTCCTATTTCCAAAAAGAGTTAGCATCTCACATAAATAACCAGTGGCTGGTCTCAGTATCCAAGGTTGTCTTTGACTATCCTTGCATTGTGAGGGAGTGTTGAATGATCTCCAAAACCCCCAAGTCAAAGATTTTATGATTCATACAAGAGGAAAGTCTTTATTCATTCCTATATCCATCCCTTCGCCAGTGATTTCTTCTATGGCTCTTTTAGACCAGTGATTTTCAATTTAAGTTTCAACAAGGTCTCTGATTTTCTGTTGTTCCTCCAAAATGCTAAGTATTTTAAAAAATGAATTAAAATTTATTTTGTTATAAAAATTTGATGGCTTTCTTCCACCCCTCTCTCATCCCCTCACCCCCATCTAATACACACATAGTGTCTTGACACATAAGCAGTCAATAAGTATTAAATACGTACTGTGTTCTAGTAATGGTTAGGCTATGGAGATACAAAGACAAAAATGAGGCCCTGCCCTTAAGGAGTGAACTCCCAGGGTAATTTAATGTACTTGTCACAATATTCTTTTAGAATTATTCATTAAGGGTTTATAATAACTAAAATGATAACTTTTGTCCCCAAAAGCTCCAAGTTAAAAGTTACGTCATATAATTATATAAAAAACATACATGCTTGAGATGATAGAATATATTTGAAACAGTTGGTCATTTATTGCTTAAGCTGCTATCTTGGACTATCTTTGAGAACTTCCAAGATATTCTCAAACCATTAAATGAGAACCACTGATGTAGACAGTAGAGATTCTTCCAAGTTTGAAGGAAACAAAAGATTCTGAAAGATGGAGGGTGTGTATTTTAGTCATGGGGGACAGCCAGTGCAAAGAAACGTAGAAGGAAGATGGAGTATTATGGCTAGTGTTTATACAGCACTTTAAAGTTTACAAAGTACTTGGTACATACTATTTCCTTTTATCTTCACAACCCTCGGAAGTAGGTATTATTGTTATCCTCATGTTAACAGGTGAAGAAACTGAGGCTGACAGGTTGTACAGTAAATGTCTAAGGTCCATTTCAATTCAGGTCTTTGAGCACACTTATCTCCTGCATTACTGAGTTGCCTTTGACCATATATAGTCCATAAGGATAAGGAAGGTTAGTGTGGCCAGATTGTAGAATGTGTGAAGTGGAGCAGTGTATAAGATAAATGTGTAGATGTTTGATAAATGCTTCTTGCCATCAGCAAACATCTGTAATGGGGATAAAGTAGAAGCCTTCCCAGAAAGATCACGGATGAAGCAAGGATGCCTGTTGTCACTACTATTCTATTCAACATTGTACTAGAAATGCTAGCTATAACAGTTAGAGAAGAAAAAGAAATTGAAGGAATTAGAATAGGCAATTAGGTAGCAAAACTATCATTACTCTTTGCAGATGATATGATGGTATACTTAGAGAATCCACCAAAAAAACTAGTTGAAATAATTAACAGCTTTAGTAAAGTTGCAGGATAAAAACTAAAGCCACCTGGATCATCAGCATTTCTATATATTACCAACAAAGTCCAGCAGCAAGAGATAGAGAAATTCCATTTATGATAACTAGACAATATAACATACTTAGGAGTCTGCCTGACAAGACCCAGGAACTATATGAACGCAATTACAAAACACTTCACACAAAGTCAGATATAAACAGTTTGAAAGATATTAATTGCTCATGGGTAGATTGAGCCAATATAATAAAAATGATAATTCTACCTAAATTAATCTTATTCACTGCCATACCAATCAAATTACCCAAAAATTATTTTATAGAGCTAGAAAAAAAATAATAAAATTCATCTGGAAGAGCAAAAGGTCAAGAATATCAAGGGAATGAATGCCAAAAAAAAAAAATGTGAAGGAAGGTGGCCTACCTATACCAGATCTCAAACTATTATAAAGCAATAATCGTCAAAACCATCTGGTACTGACTAAGAAATAGAATGGAGGATCAGTGGAATAGACTAGGTACACAATGCATTGTAGTAAATGACCATAGTAACTTAGTGTTTGATAAACCCAAAGATCCAAGCTTTTGGAACAAAAACTGGGAAAACTGTTGATAGAAACTAGGTATAGACCAACATCTCACACCATATACCAAGATAAGGTTAAAATGGATACATGACTTAGACATAAAGAGTGATACCATAAGCAAATTAGAAGAGGGTGGAATAGTTTACCTGTTAGATATATGGATAAAGGAAGAACTTAGGACCAAATGAGAGAGAACATTATAAAATGTAAAAGGATAATTTTGATTATATAAATTAAAAAGGTTTTGCACAAGCAAAACCAGTTTAGCCAAAATTAGAAGGAAAGCAGAAAACTGGGGAAGAAATTTTTACAGCAAGTTTTTCTGATGAAGGCCTCATTTCTCAGATATATAGAGAACTGAGTCAAATTTATAAGAAGTCATTTTAAGAAACTATTCCCCAATTAACAAGTGGTCAAAGAATATGAACAGGCAGGACAAAGAAATCAAAGCTATCCGTAGTCATATGAAAAAATGTTCTAAATCATTATTGATTAGGGAAATGGAAATTAAAACAACTCTGAAGTACCACCTATCACATCTATCACATTGGCTAAAATGACAGAAAAGGAAAATGATAAATGTAGGAAGGGATTTGGGACAATTGGGACACTAATGCATTGTTGGTAGAGTTGTGAACTAACTTAATCTGGAAAACAATTTGCAACTATAACCAAAGAGCTATAAAACTGCATACCCTTTGATTCAGCAATACCACTACTAGGTCTGAATTCCAAAGAGATTGAAAAAGGAAAAGAACCTATTTATACAAAAATACTTGTAGCAGCTCTTTTTATGGTGGCTCAGAATTGGAAATTGAGGGAATGCCCATCAGTTGGGGAATGACTAAACTTGTGGTGTATGATTATAATGGAATATTGTGCTATAAGAAATGATGAGCAAGCTGATTTCAGAAAAACCTGGGAAGACTTTCATGAACTGATGCGAAGTGAAGTGAGCAAACCAGGAGAACATATCCACAGTAACAGCTACATTGTATGATGAACATCTGTGAATGACAGTTACTTTTAGCAGTGCGATAATCCGAGACAATCCCAAAGGACTCGATGAAAAATGCTGTCTGCCTCTGGAGAAAGACCTGATGGAGTCTGAATGCAGATCGAGGCATACTATTTTTCACTTCCTTTTTTTTTTTAATTTTGAGGTTTGCCCCACAAAATGACTAATGTGGAAATGTTTTACTTGATTGCATGTGTATGACCTATGTTGGATTGCTTACCCTCTCAGAGAGGGGGAGGAAGAAGGGGCAGAATTTGGAACTCAAAACTTTAAAAAAAAAAACAATGAATGTTAAAAATTGGTTGTACATGTATTTGGGGGGAAAAGAAAATATTTGAGGAAAAATAGGTAAATGCTTCTTAAATTGAAGCCATGCCTGAGAATTGCTGCCTGAAGACTTCTCAGTTTTGGAAGAAGTCAGAGCAGCATAGGTCACCATCTGCCAAAGGCATTTGGAGGAAGTGCTCCTTCATTAGCAATGGGGTGCTGCTGTGATCTCTGTATTGGTAGAGACCAAACTCAGAACTGAAATAACTTAGAAGGGAGTTTATTAAGTCATCTAGCAGAAAAGGGGTGGCCCACTCCCCCCCCCCGCTGCCCCCCCCCTCCCCCGGTGTTTGGAAGTTGTACATTACATAGAGTTCAAAAAAAGGAACAAACCTTGTCTGATCAGCTTCCAGATAAGACAGACTTGGGTTGCTTGAGATGTGTGATGGGAGAAAACTCCTTACTTTCCTTGCATCAATCTTTTGCTCCCTGGAAGATATTTTTGGTCAGCATAACCT